ACAGATTCCGTTTCGTGTCTTCCGCCCATTGCAGCGGAATGACAATTGCTTCGGAACCGGAATCAGTTAGACAGCGCTTAGTAGATAGATTCATGTCCACCGGCAATACAGAAAGTCTGCATCTTTGGGCGTATAATACCCGACCAGTAGGGTTAGTTTCTCATTCTTGGTTCATCTAATCTCTGTTTCTTTTGTGTATAGCAAAATTTTCATATAACCTATTGTTTTAATTTATAGAGCACACTGGTTGCTGCTTGCTATCAACCCGATAAGAGAAGTCGTGTATTATCTGAATTCGGTAAATGGTGAATGGACCAATTATCCGGCTATGAAGGAAATCGTTGATTTGTAAGTGGGATCGTTCTAAATATATATTCGTGTATATTTATATATTTTCTTATTTGTGGGATTGATTTAAACATATGCTTTTATATATTTAATAATTAGATCAATACAAGTGTTCCGTAGTCAACGGGACGCACAGGTATCCCGAACTAAATCGAACAACATCACTTGGATCCAAGTGCAGGTACATTACTTTTCACAATTTTGCTTATAATATTTATGCTACTTGGTAAAACAAGACAACTATAGAATCTTATTTGTTTTATTATGTAGTGTCCGCAACAGCGAAACAGTCATGATTGCGGATACTTTGTTTTGAGGTTCATGAAAGAAATCCTTCAGGCGAATCAATTAGAGATTCCGCTCACGGTATGAATTTATAACTTAAGATAATTTCATATAATTTATTACATTTAACTAAATATATCATTTATATTATGTTTTTGTTTTGTAGTACCTTGACGAATTCCGTGCTGCTGCGTACCCGAAGCTTAAGTTGGAAGAAATTAAAGAAGATTTGTGTCAATATTATATTAGGCAATTTTTCATGTAGGATTTGTGTCGATTTGAACTATAATATTATTGATGTAATGATGTATATATATAATTTTGGATATTATAATGGTATTATATTAGTACATATATTGTCTTACTGATGGCTGAAATAATAGCGTCGAAAATATATTACAGGTCAAAAATATATTACAGGTCGAAAATATTACAGGTCGAAAACATTACAGGTCGACTGGGAGGATTAAATTATAGGCTGCACATAAAAATACCTCATTTAGAAACGACAGCGCTTTTAAAAAGCGCTCTTAAAGGTCCACCTACTAAAGCGCTTCTTAGTAAAAGCGCTGCCAAAGACCAGTAAAAAGGCAAAAAAAATTAAAAAAAAACGCAGCCTACAAAAGCGCTTTTGTAAAAGCGCTCTGGTAGGCCCCCCTATAAGAGCGCTTTTTCTGGAAAAAGCGCTCTTATAGGGGGGCCTACCAGAGCGCTTTTACAAAAGCGCTTTTGTAGGCTGCGTTTTTTTTTAATTTTTTTTGCCTTTTTACTGGTCTTTGGCAGCGCTTTTAAAAAGCGCTCTTAAAGGGGGGTCTACCAGAGCGCTTTTTCCAGGAAAGCGCTCTTATAGGGGGTCCTACCAGAGCGCTTTTTCCAAGAAGCGCTCTTAAAGGGGGGGTCTACCAGAGCGCTTTTAGAAGCGCTTTTGTTACCTACGCCAGCGCAAGCTTTTAAAGCGCTTTTAAGCGCTTTTAAAGCCCAAAAAAAGCGCTTTTAAAGGTCTTTTTTGGCGTAGTGAATGACATCAAAACTTTAGATTTTTCATTACAAGATTCACAACTTATGGGAATACTTTTCAATCATTATCAAAATAATAATTCAAAGAATTTGTCATCATCAAAAGGGGGAGACTGTGAAGATTACATTGCATATCTATTTCAGATTTGATGAAGACAAATATTATCAAATAAGAAAGGAATCAAACGTGTCAAGCACATCAATGATGAAGTTGATCAAGAAGGATGAACATAGAAACCCAAGTGATGATTTGAGAGAAGTGAACATATCTAAGTGAATTGTTATGATTCATACTATACTAATTTAAATTGCTCAGAATTTCATCTCTCACTTCCTCCAAAATCTTATTGCATCATCATACATGAACATCTAAAATCTCTCTTCATATTATTCTTGAGACAAGTGTTTGTATACAAAGTCGTGTGAGAATATTATGATATTATTGTCTTTATGATGATTATATGATTGATCTTTACCAACGAGATTAATAGAATTTTAGAAACAAAAATGTTTCTTACCTCCACATTCAAGATGAAAGATCTTGGACTAGTTGACACAATTTAAGAGGTCAAAGTAAAGATAAATAGTGGAGGTTATGAACTTAGTCAAACACACTATATTGAGAAAATATTTGATAAGTTCAAACACTTACGCTTTAAGGAAGTGACCACGCCATTTGATCATATTGTAAAAATTCAAAAGAATGATGGAAGAGTCATGGCTCGATTGAAATATGCAAGTGCAATTGATTGTCTAAAGTAATTAATGCAATGTACTAGACTCGACATAGAATTCTCATTAGTAAATAAGTATATTTACTATCAATCTAAATGGTGAGCATTGGAAGGCCATCACAAGGATTTTTTTATTATTTTTTAAAAACCAAAATCTTGACCTCCATCATGGTAGGTTTCCTGTCATCTTAGAAGGATATACCAATGTGATTTGAATATCTAGTGTTGAAGATCATAAATTTATAATTGAATGGATATCTACACTAGCTGGAAGTGCAATTTCTTGGAAGAGCAAGAAACAAATATGTATTAACATTTCAACCACAGAATTAGAGTTTTTGGCTCTTGCTTTCGTTGGTCAAGAAGCTGAATGGTTGAGGGACTTTCTGTTGGAAGATCCATTGATAAAAGATAATGTTTCAAAAGTATTGATACATTGTGATAGCCAAGTCAGTTTAGCGAGAGCATTCATAGATGTGTATAATGGAAATTATAGACACATAGGACTTAGACATTCCTTTGGGAGAAAATTGATTAAGGGTATTATTATTTCACTCACCTATATACGAACAAGCTATAATTTGGTTGATCCATTTACCAAGCCCCTGGCCAGAGACTTAATAAAGACAATCTAGAGATGTATGAGATTGAAACTCCGTGAGTAAGAGTTACAATAGAGGCATCAACTTATTCTTACGTTAACAGGACATTAACGTCAAGATTGATAACAAGTTGTTGATTTGGATGTTTATCAGACATTTTGTAGTAATGTTTACTATTTTAAATTGAGGATTGGGTTTTTTCAAACTCTTAATGAAGTTCAATACTGAGAGTATGTGTCTCATGGAAAAAGATACAATATGAACTTCACTTATGGGAATTTTGAGATACTGCTGTCTCAAAGTGAGAGTTAGAGTTTCTCTCGAAAATTTCATGAAACAGAAAAGCGCATGGCCAAAAATAAGTGCTAGATTAGAAATATAGGCGAAGAACCTTAAATAATGTGTGTAAGGTAACGCCGGTCTAATCACATGGATCAATGGTTAAAAGCATTGTCACCTAACATTCTGATTAGACTTTGTATTGTTCGTACTAATGTTAAGTTTAAATCGAAAGATACTTAACTATATTAACATTTTTTGTTTCTTTTTTTTTTTGGAATTGATCTTGCAATTATTAGAACAAGTGAGGAAATATTGTAAATTTGTAATAACTAATAATATTTAATCACCATTGGTGTGTTCCAAAATAACAAGAAATATGTATGTGAAGCTTGTATTTGAATTTGAAAATAGGAAATACTTCGTGAAGTCTTGTAGTAGGCAATTTGTATTTTGAATTCTGAAATAAGCAACACTTTGTGAAGTGTTGCAAAATGCAAAACAATAAAACCTTTTAAAACTGTTGCAGTAGACAAAACAGTGCAACGTTTGAAAAGTGCTGTTGTAGGAAAAACAGTGCAACACTTAGCAAAAGTGTTGCTGAAAGTATGGGTTTCACCAAGGGTCACAACCTTATGAAACAAAATCAGTTTGGCCTATAATTTGAGTATTCTACATTCAGAAAATTACATTACAAAACATACATCCCCTTCACAAAAAATTCCATAATCTCTTTACTACATTCGAGTTTTTTCCGGTCTTACGCAAACTCAATAAAAAGCTGAATTATCTTGGATATTTCTATGTTCCAACTCTAAGACATATTTGAAAATGCTTGACATTTTTACAAACAAAGTAATTCCATTCACGATTTTAGTCTCGAACCATTTGATTCAAATTTATTTTTCTAACAGATGTGAGTCCTACTCAATGTCTAAAATGATATCTTTGTCTAAACATAAAAGTTGAGAATTCTTATGAAACAAAGTATTTGCCAAAAATTGTAATTTTAAATATACTAAAAGAATGTGAAGTTTATTCTACTTTGATAAGTAATCGTATCCATTTTTAGTGCTTTTTTTTTGGTGTTTTTTTTTTTGTTTTTTGTGGTTACAACAAGTGATATATGTTAGTGTCTAGGATCACAAACAAACCTTGTCTATATGTTGCAATGGCTGATTAATATGAAATATATCAAAGAAGCTGATGAGCACTTTGTGAATATTGGACGTCAGTGACTAATTTATATGTTGTTGTATTGTTTTGAAAAAGATGCTAAAGCAGTGATGGATGAAAGGGCAAAAAAATGGTGGTGGCTCAAGCTGGCGATGATTTGTAGACGCCCTGCGATGGTAGCAAAATTAATGGAAAACAAAACTATATCGATGACGAAACAAAGCAATGTGTCATTGGTCAAAGAAAATAGAACAAAACCGTGCTAAAATATATATTGGATGAAAAGTTATAAATGATGGAAAGCCAAAATTATACTATTTTTTAAAAGTATATATAATCACCGATTTCATAATGGCCTAGTCTTTCCATAAGGCTGAAAAGACCCAAAAAAAAATCTATTCTTAATTTCCAACCGGCCTTATAAACTTTGGCCACATATGTTCGTTTTTATTCACAATTGGACCAAACATGCCTCACAAGTTACACACACCTCTAACCTTAATTTCATCATTCCTTAAATATGTATAGACACAGTCTCATTTATGCTAAGAAACTAAAAATGGATGATCACAAGAAAAAAACATTGGAACCAAAACCTAACTTAGAGGAACTATACCAAGGCATCCCAGATGAGTCTGTTAATCTTACCTTTCAAGACTTACCAAATGTTAAGAAAAACACCACAACAAATATACAATCCCCTTCTCTCTCACCTATGAATATGTCACCTACTCATGATTTAAAAAAAGGCTTCAAGGTATATTCAAATCATAACTATAATCATCATCAAGATTTTGGTCATAGAGGTGTTGTTGGTCCTAAAAGTACTCAAAGTAATTTGGGTTATGAAACCATGAGTGGTGAGTCGAGTTCGGCTTCTGGAAAAGGTGGTGTTGGTCGGAGAAGACGACAAGGGATTCCTCACTCTAAGATTTGCACCATTTGTAGTAACTACGTTTATTTTTTCAGGACAAGATGTTTGGTAAGTTTTTGAAATGTTACTATCATTGATACCTATACTTATAAATGAGATACTATGTTTTGTAATTTAACATTGTTTGTTGACAATGAAGGTATGTGGCAGGGTTTATTGCAAGCAGTGTGTGGAAATAGGTATGGGAGATTTAAGAGAAGGAAGAAAGTGTGTTAATTGCCTTGGACTGAGATTCAGCCAAAGGTAACAACTTTCTAATTATTTTAATAAGCTTAAGAAGTATTAATAATCACTATAAATTCTCACGTACAACTATGAGAGTCAGGGATCAAACTCTGGTGCTGACGTAGTAATAATCACTAGAAATTCACACACAAAACTATGAGAGTCAGGGTCGGAATCTCGGTGATACTGTAGTGGTAATCACTAGGAATTCACACACACGATTATAAGAGCTGAGTTCGAATCCTGGAACTAACATAGTAATAATCACTAGAAATTTACACACACAATTATGAGAATTAGGGTTCAAGCGCAAGAGTCAAAGTTTCAAACCTAGTGGTGGCGTCAAACCTAACAATTTTCTATTTAAATGTCAGTTCTGTACAAATTTTTTGAAGGTTCTTTTTAACCCTAAATTAACAAAATACATGAATGATTATTGGAACATAATTTATTGACATAGGTACATAGAAAGAGCAGGGTTACTAGGATGTTTGAATTGGAGGTATCCAAGCACAGTAAAGCAGACAGAACTCAAATGGGCTGAGAAAGGACCAAGGAGGAATGGTGACAAAGGCTATGGTCATCAATCAAGACCAACTACACCTACAACTCCAACAAGTCCTTTCTCTATTGCTAGCAGTGAAGCCTCATTTGCCATGTCTGCAACTTATTCTCCATTCACTCCTCATCATCATCACCATCACCATCACCCTCTCTGAAAACAAGAAGAATTAACTTTGCGTTAATTATAGTTTCTTTCAATTGTGTGTTCTTTTTTATATTTCATCTTATCTTGTTTTATTGAACTAGTTGGTTTAACTTATATTAAAAGTTCTATCATTTCTTTCTTCTTATTTGTCACTATCTTCAATGTGTCCTTTACTTGCATCAAAATAATCAATTTATAAACAACATATAAAAGTTTGTACAAATTGTATACATCAAGGCATTAGATTATACAATAAGGAATATTTAAACATTAAAATCTTGCTAAGTCTGCCGGCCAGTTCCTTAACCCAATAAATATTATATAATAAAAAGACAACAAGATTTGAAACCATGCTCACAACCAGAATCACAAAAGCCTATACGCGACAACTACCTTTGTTTTAAATGATCTCAACTCTCTCATCTAATTTCAAAATGGTTAAGGATATTCCTTTCATAGGTTTATGTATACTAACTTTGAGTTTAGTTTTTCTCCTCAAAAAAATCCTCTCAAAAAGTCAAACAAAAAATGTTCCAAAAGGGTCTCTTGGATATCCTATTATTGGAGAGACACTTGGTTTTCTTAGAGCACAGAGGCAAGACAAGGGCTATGAGTGGATGCAAGAAAGAGTATCTAAGTATGGTTCTGTCTTTAAAACCTCCTTAATGGGTTCTCCAACAGTGTTTATTATTGGACAACAGGGAAACAAGTTTGTTCTTGGTTCCTCGGATGATGTTATTTCTTCTAAGAAACCCATAACTCTTCAAAAGATACTTGGAAAGCAAAGTATAATTGAACTTGTAGGATCAAGGTACATATTTTTAATTTCTTACTTTATATCTTGTTATCCAGCCAAAGAATCGATTAATCTCGAGATTAGTCTTTTTTTTTTTTTTTTCCTTTCTTAAATCAATGATTTATAATTATCAGTTATTTGTTTATATTAAGTAAATATTGTAGGTAGGATTACCCTATTTTTGGATATACTTATATCTAACAAATACTTTATTAAGAATTATGAAATATAGACACCGAAAATATAATAGTTATTGACACCAACACGTCTATATTAATAATAATTAAATAAATAAATTACATGTAAATATAAGTGTTGGTGTTAGTTTTGGACAGAGACAAAGATAAAAACACATTTTCTTAGAGGTGTGGGTATTACAAAGTTTAAGACTGATAGGAAATTTTTTATCAAAGCTATGAAATTAGGGTTTTCACAATAAAAGGGAAAAACACTAAAATGACTAAATAAAATAAAGGAAGATTGAAATTCTGGTATAACAGAACTCAGATGTCCTATAGGTTGTCGAGACATCTGATCTGAACATAACAACACATGCAAGATATAAACATTGAAAATAGTGCTGAAAAGCATAAACAGCGCACCAGAATTGTTAATCCAGTTCAGAGCAACTCTCCTACTCTAGGGTCATACCAAGCCTGGGACAAGTCCACTATGATAGTATCAATTCATAGATCCTACAATAAACATAACAGTTTACAGTCTACTCACTTAATCACTACCTGTGCTATACTTCTATCTAAGACTCACCTAGATATGAGACTCCCCTCAATCCCTCATCATTCACAGACAACGATTGAACAACACCAATTATGAACAAATAGGAAGACACACTTCCATGACAATACCTAATCAAGCCCTAAAGTTAAACTCCATTGTTTACAAATTTACTCCACACTAAGAACACAACTTGGAGTTGCTTACAAGTTTCCTCCAAGAACCATACTCAACTCATTACTTCACAGCTTCTGAGTGAGAACGCAATGGCCATCTCACAACCCGAGTGGTTCACTTACACCAACTCTCCTAAAGAGTGGCGATAAACTCAGTCCTAATGATTACATATTTTCAATTCTCGGTTGGTACCTTTCTTTGTTTACAAAGACTACTATTTATAACCTATATTCCAACTGGATTTGGACCTTCAATCACAACTCATCAGCTGTTACAAACCAGCAGAAACTTCTGCTACAAACAAGGTATTCAATCATTTGTTTCCTAAATAATCTCCATATTTAGAAACTGCATAGTCTTCAATATTTTGACTTGATTCTTCTTGACCTTTAATTCAACGCCACATAGGATTGCATAATATTCGTAGAATATTCTGCATCAGTTAAATCATAACAGAATCTAACTATCCACTTCAGCTCAAAAGTGATGTCATATGATCCTTCATAGAACATCTTATATGACATATTGTTCTAGACGATGAGAACTTTCTTATCAACATGTCACAACATAAGATATGACTTCTTGCTTAACTTGTTCTTGTTAGCAAGTTAACATCTCCTATCTAACTTATTGTTGTCTTATTTATTTTACAAAAATTAATGTCAATCCTAAAACTAGAGAACTTATAAAGATAAAAGATCTTTTTTCATTTGATTGATTGATACATAATGTCTCAATGAGACTACAATATATAGTAATTCTAATGATAATAAACTTAAAGGTCCAAACACTACTAAAAACCCAATTCAACCAAACATTCAAAATAAAATAACAACTAACATTATATTACTAATTAAAATATCTAATTACACCTTCTACCATTACCGCCCGGTTCACATTGAACCTTGTCCTCAAGGTTCTAAAATTACTCCCGAATCTCATTGCTTAAGCTGAAAAATCATAACAGTTGCATTCAAGTTACAAAGTCCATGAGCTCTTTCAAAAATATGTACATGAGAAAGCCTAGAAAGGCTTCCAAAAGTTAGATACAACACATGATCATTTGGCTTAGAGTTAAGACAATTTAGCAATTCTTTCTCTTTTCCAAAACTCTTCACCATGTGGCCCCTATTAGCCTTTCTTTAATCATCCTTGTTAGCCCAAGCTGAAGCTGGTCCTACAAGATTGCGAAGTACTTCCCTAAGAGCAAAATTTAACATGTGTCTGTATGTATGGTTAGGAGCTATAAGCAAATGTCTTCTATAATTAGCCTTACATATTACTTTTTCTCCAACAGAGATACCAGTCCCATTACCGATGTGAAGCACGTAACCTCCATAAACTTGAACATTATGAACTTGATATGAAGCATGTTGAAAATCAAGTGACCCAATTTCGAAAATATGACCACCTTGTTCAACATAGAAGCTTGTAGATTCAAGAATCACACAAACATCACCATCAGAATTAACAAACTCGGAACCTATATGTATTGCTTTTACCACACTTTCATGGTACTCGAACCAAACAAATTTGAACCCTTCTTGATCTTTCTATTGCAGAAGAAAATCTCTACCTTGTGGGGATCAAATTCGAAAGCAACTTATGAGATACAGAATCAACATCATCATACCTTTCTTTTGACCACTTCACAGTAGGATCATCCATTTTATTAACAACAACAAGGAGATTAGACACACCCAATGTTTTTGCTAGCTGAACATGTTCACGAGTTTGACCACTTTTTTCATATCTAGATTCAAATTCTCCCTTTCGAGCAGATATTACTAATACTCCAATATCAGCTTGAGGTGCACCATTGATCATGTCAAGAACATAACTCTTATGACCAGGTGCATCCAAAATCATAAACCTTGATATCTTTGTTTCAAATTTTTCTCTTCCAACTTCAACTTGCTTTCCCTTGGCCCTCTCCTCATCATTTGTATCCATTATGTAAGCCATATACCAACTTTCTCTACTTTTTTCCTTGGCCTTTGTCTCGTATTTTTGGATAGTCCTTTCATCGATTTGACAACTGAGGAAAAGTATCTGACCTTATGTTGTTAATTTATTAGCATCCATGTGACCAATAAAAACAACATTCAAGTGCCTTTTGACAGCCATCTCCTCGTCCTCTTCATCTTGCACGGGCACATCTCTTCATCTTGCACCAACGAAACCTCTTCATCTTGCACCGGCGAAACCTCTTTATCTTTTATGTCAGTCTTAATAGATTATGCTTGAACCTCCGAATTAGGATCTTCTTCTGCATTAGTAAATTTCTCAACTTCTTGATCTATATTAATATATTATTTAACTTCTGTCTTTCCATTATCTAGACGGATCCCGTGGCTGTTCTTCGCTTTCTTGGCATCGGGGAAAGCTCCAATGTTCTTCAAAAGCTTGAGCGCTTCCTTGGTTCTCTCAACTCCTTCAGCAGAATCACAAACAATGAGAGGAAACTCTAAGACTAACTCGATCTGGTGGTCACGAGCAAGAACAAGAAAAGGAACCGCAGAAGCAGCGATGGCTGAGACCATAGCGTAATGTTTCTGGTTAACGTTAATCTTCTAGTTCCATTTACGCCAGTTCCTGGTGGGAGCGAACAAGCTACCACCATGACACATGTTTCCAAAAGCAGCTTGACCTACACGTTGAGTACCACAGCCAGCAACACGAGGAATACGAGACACGACACGACCAATTCCCCATGACTCAACAGAGGTTTGGTGACCAACTTTACGAATGACAGCGTAAGGTTGACGGGCATTTTTGCTTATGTTCGAGTGGACGATGTTGACTATGTCAGGGAGGATATAGGTGTGCATGACATAGGGGATGGGGAGAGTGACGGCGAAATCAGTGGCATCATCGCTTTCGAGGGGACGAGTTACGGTGACCATTTGGGTGATTGCATTTTGTACCAGAAATAAGGTTTGAATTAGGGTTTTTGAGTTTTGATTGATAAAGTCAGTATCTACAAGGTTGAAAGGGGTGCTTTCTAATTAGGCAGATTTTTGTAATTTTTTTTTTTGCTTTCTTGAAACAAGGATGACAAAGGGTTTGAAGTGGATCATTGGATCTAATGGGTTTATGAGAGTTTTTTTATCTTTTCTTAAAAGAGAGATGATACACGTGAAATTGCTTCTCAAAATATCTTTTAATTGTGGAGGACATTTTTGTTGGTTGTAGTGGTTGATGATAATTAGTGCAATAGTATGAATAATAAAATGGTGAATAGGATGAATATGGGTTGGGTGGGGGTGGTGTATACCCATGATTAAAATAAAAATATGGGTTGGTAACATGTGGATTTATGGAATAAGATGAGAAAATTTTCCATGGAAAAATGGAAATGAGAAAGTGATTGGAGATGTAAAAGAGGGGTTTGTGGGATAGGTAGAAGGAATGCTCCATGGATGATATGAAGGTGTATGAGAAGGGTAATCCATAGGAGGATTTGATTACATGGATGAAAGCACCAATTGATAGGATGTTTCCTAACAAAGCTATGAAATTATGGTTTTCCACAATAAAAGGGAAAAACACTAAAATGATGAAATAAAATAAAGAAAGATAAAAGACTTTTTCATTTTATTGATTGATACCTAATGTCTAAATGATACTATAAGATATAATACTTCTAATGATAATAAAATTAAAGGTCGAAACACCATTAAAAGCCCAATTCAACCAAACATTCAAAATAAAATAACAACTACCATTATATTACTAATTAAAATATCTAATTGCACTTCCTATCAAAGACCGTAAGTGTTGTTGATGGAAAGAATAATGAAGCTATTTGATTTGAGATTTTTGTTTATTTTTCATGCAGGCACATGTTGGTCAAAGGTGAAATGATGAAATTCTTGAAACCTGAATGCCTCCAGAACTATGTGAAAAATATGGATGAATTAGTGCACACAACACTACTAAAAGAATTGAAAGAGAATAAAACAATAAAAGTTGTGAGGTTGATGAAAAAAATGTCCTATGATATGGCATCCAATATCTTATTTGACATAGATCAACACACAAGGAATATTTTATTTAGTGATTTCATCACATCATTTAAAGCAATTCACTCTCTTCCAATAAATCTTCCTGGCACCTCATTTTGGAGAGGCCAAAAAGCTAGAGCAAGAATTGTGGAAAAGATACTTCCTATTATGAACAAAAGAAGGGAAGAATTATCAAAAGGAGTTCTAAGTTCTTCCAATGATATGCTTTCATGCCTTCTTGCAGTAAGAGATGAAAATGATAAGCCTCTAGACGATGACATCATTACCGACAATTTTATTTTTTTGTTTGTTGCAAGTCATGACACATCTGCTACTCTTATGACATTGATGATATGGAAGTTATCAAGAGATCAGGAGGTTTATAACAAAGTTTTAGAAGGTATGATTAGTTTGGTTTTTTAGGTTATACTATTTGTGTGCTATATTCTGTGGGGTTTTACAATTTTGGTGAATTCTTTTTTGCAGAACAAATGGAAATTTTAAAGCAAAGGAATGGAAGTGAAGAGAGGTTAACATGGGGAGAGATACAAAAGATGAAATACACATGGAGAGTTGCTCAAGAATTGATGAGAATGATCCCTCCTTTTTTTGGTGTATTTAGGAAAGCACTTAAAGATATTAGTTACCAAGGATATGACATACCAAAAGGGTGGCAGGTAGGTTATGTTTATAATGTAAACATTCACAATCCAATGCATAGATCCTCAATCGCATTTGTCTTGCTATTGTGGACACATCAAAATTCAGATTACAGTCACATTCGAATGCATAAGTATAATGTTAAATTGGTTTCATGTTTAGGTATATTGTGCATCAAGTGGAACACATATGGATAAAGATATATTCGAGAATCCACACAAGTTTGATCCATCTCGTTTTGAAAATCAAACCAAGTCAATTCCACCATTTTCATACCTTCCATTTGGTGCAGGGTGTCATTATTGCATAGGAAATGAGTTTGCTAGGGTTGAGACATTAACTACCATTCACAATTTTGTGAACTTGTACGAATGGTCTCAATTGAATCCAGAGGAAACTATTACTCGTCAACCAATGCCATATCCATCTTTGGGCCTCCCAATTGAGATCAAATCAAGATGTAATATGTCTTAAACTTTATCGTCATGTCCTATATGTTTTGTGTTGTTTCTTGTTGTGTAATATGTAATTCCAACATAGCTCTTTATTAGCATGCTTTGTGATTGAAAAATGTTATTTATAGGAGAGTCCGTGAGTTTTTTTTTTGTTCTTCATTTAAGAACCATGAATAAAGTTGGGTGATAGATTCTTTTGTGAAAAATTTATATACTTTTATTGGATGAAAAATGTTAAAGAAATTACTTCAAACTTCTGATAACGAGACAACACTATAGTAGATTTTTTGAAACTATAGATGTTATTACAATCTGGAGTGAGACACAAAGACGAATATAGAGGAACACTTTATGGAAATCAAACAATGTATTATGTATGAGGTGAGCTAGACCACCCACGAGCACTAAGACCATTCTTTTTAGCCTTTTTGATGCTTCACATCTCCCGCAAGGTGGTGACTTATTTCAACAAGACGTGTGTAAGGCACATGTGGGCAAGTAAGGTGTGTCTCGGCGCGGGATTTATGTTTGGTGTGTTAAAAGGAAGTTGTTATTAAAATACACTATGGAAAATAAAAATGTCTCTTAAGTCGATATTTACAAATAAGCATGGTTATTGATAATACAATGCTTATCTTTGTTGGCAATTAACCGTTGATGCTGGATAAAAAACAATTACGAGTGATGAACGAACAACAACATTTTTACTTAATATGCACGAACAAAATACCTTCAATTTTAATATATGTGTGTGCGTGTGTATGAGAAACAGAGACTAGGGTTTCACATATCGAATTTTGTCAAGCAATAAATACTTCAATACATGGGTTTTATTTATATAAACGCTTGTGTGAGATGTAAGTTGACTAAGTCCATAAAGTACAATGTACCTTACAATGTAGTGTATTTCCCTTAAGTACATTATATCTTACGATGTTCCTTATTTTACTTAAGTAAATTGTACTTTACAGTGTTCCTTACTTCACTTAAGTACATTGTACTTTACATTGTTCTATATTGAACTTTAGTACACCTTACCTTAAAGTGTATCACATTACTTTAATTAACCCTAGTTCATTGCATGACCGCATAATCAAATAAGTCTCACTTATTTATTTTCTCCAATCAATATTCCTTTATATATGTGACCCGTAGGTTCTCGTGACACTGCAATTATATCAAATCACCATTTATTGTAATAAATATTGAGTCATATCTAACAACACATCATTGATATCCAAGTCACGAAAATGTCATGTGATACATCAAAATCTTTTCGTGATAATATTTATGTGTATATTACACTTTTTCCTCCATGTATATATTGAACGCACGAGATAGACCTTGTCACCATTGGGAAATTCAGTATTGGACCCTTAGACATTTATCATGCTATGTAAGATGTGCAAATTTTATCTAGGTAACTTGTGTCCCTCAGCATGATTTGTGGAGTACTCATCAACTAACTTTATAGACATCCTATTATAGACAGTGTTTGATCAGAAATAAAGTACTCGACTCTACATCTTAGGTCCTTAGTTATTTCAGGTCGAAGGTGGTATATACCAATATTTTAAAAACCAGAATGAATTGGTCGGTTCAACCGGTTGGACTTGGAGCCGGAGATGAATCTGGTTGGATCAACCTTTCAAAACTACTAGTGGGTCAAAATTGGAGTAAAATAAAAAAAAAACCGGATTGAACCGTCCAAAACCATTTGAACCAAAGAACCATAGCCGGTTTTATAAAACCATCCGGTTTAAATTTTTTATATTAAATTAGCCTTTTTTTATTGAGTATATTGTATTATTTATTTTTGGTATTCTATCTTATTTAACTTAAGTATTCTTAATTCTTTGAACTTTATTTGAGTTATTATGCTCTATTATTTTAATTTTGATTTGAATTGGTTTAACATATTTTATTGTAATTCTTTAGTTTGTTCAAATTATTCTTAAATGAAGGTTGAAATGAAGTGTACAACTATGTTGTGTTATTATATGTACTATCAATATAGTTGTATTAAGTTTTTAGATTTTTGAAGTATTTTTTTATTAATGTGTGAACATATGATTATGTGTGACATATCTATGAAATTTAGTTTTATATTATTAGTTTATTTAATAAATGATTCAACTATAGATTTAATCGATTGAACCAATTGAACCTTAAATCGGAAGTTTTACCAGTTCGATCTCCAGTCCGACTTTTATAACATTGGTATATACCACTATCATCATGAGAATAATTTATGACACTTGCATAACATTCTATGTAGTATTCTCATGGTAGGTCAATCCAGTGTAAATGTTACTCTTAATATTTATACATATACGAAAACTTATAACTTTTTGTCCATGATTTGTGAGATGTGATCATTAATTTATCTACATAGTAGTCTCAATGATTTAATTTTATCTCAGTTTAGAGTAAAGCTTTACTATGGTTAATTTAAGAATAATGTCTTTTGTTTAAAGAGGGCTCACAATTAAGTCACACTTAATGTTTCATCAAACAGACTAGCTATTCTAGGGAATTTATTACTTTGAAAACAAACATAGTAAAGAAATTCATTATTATTATTATTATTATTATTATTATTATTATTATTATTATTATTATTATTATTATTATTATTATTATATAATTTGATACAAGTACCAAGATCTAATAAAACTATTGGTCTTTAGGGTTACACCAACAATCTCCCACTAGCATCAGAGAAATCAGGCACACGCCTAATACACTTAGATCTAGTATGACCATCATGCTTCTACAACACAATATGCTTTATTAGTAGGTCAGTATAATATTGTCAAGTGTCGGTACTATGCATGTATAAGTTCCAAAATATCGGTATTTTTTGTATGTAATTTGTAGCACTTAACGGTTCTTACGTATTGTATTCTTTGAATAATCCACCGCTTTGTGTATAAATATGTATAAATTATGTTTAATCGAGTTTTCGTGTACAGAATATAATGTTTGATAGTTTTTATGTCTTTTTGTAGGTATTGATGCATATTTGGAGCATGAGAAATAAAGTGTCGAAGACACAGCTTCAAATATGCGATTTTGGAGGAAAATAAGGTTCCCATGTCGTGCTAAGCGCGGTCTATGGGGGCTTAGCACGCCCTGGGACTTGAAAAATTAGATTTTGGCAGACTTGAGTGCTCTTAGTGCACTTGTAGCATGCTCAACACGCTATGGGGGCGGTTATCGCACTTGTAGCATGCTCATCCGCATAAGGCGGTTTGGATCAATAAGTGACAGCGCGCTTAACGCAGATTTTGGCGCTTAGCATGGTATGCAATTTTTCAGTTTGTGCATAGATAGATCAGAACATAATTTTGAGGTTTTTTTATCATCTCTCGCGTCCATGGGGGGAACTGATCCAATTCTTTGTATTTTATAGGCTTACCCAACATCATTGGGTGGTACATCTCGTCGTAAGACTGCGGGTTGTCTTCGATCGCGTCGACACCGTGAGAAGTTTTTGCTTGTTCTCCTTCTTCCTTGTGTTTCATTCTAATGGTGGGTGTTGTATGTATATTTTACTCTTATTGTATGTACATTTGTTGATCATGGGATTATATATATGATTGCTTTACAAATCATTATCGATGTTGTCCTTGATCTTTTTGCTTTATGTTTGGATTCAGGTTGTCATAGACATATACCTCACAGATCTTGATTAGGGATGGATGTCTATTAGTTTCTAGATGCTAGAGATAGATTTAGAGCTGATAATCTTTGTGGGTATCTGAGCTTAATGTCTTTGTGTTATTTGTGTCGCGCGATATATCGCTGACGCGAGTGATATTGTTGTTTGCGACTTTGTGTTAGACATAACCTCTATTATGGTGCGTCTAGAGCAATTTTAGGTGATTTTTCTATGTATTGTAGGTTGCGTGAAATTGACCGACGGGTTTAAGTATTTGACAGGTAGAGTGAAATGCAATTTCAGAATGAATTATCTTGAGATATGAATGATTATTTATTCGCTTTATTTCCTTTTCCCGCATTTTACTTTCGCGAACCCAAATCCAAACTTAGAAGGATTGAGACTGTTGAACGATAATTTTTCCCTCGCACTAATCCTTGTGTAGACAATATGATAAAACTAAATAAATACTTACTTTTTCTTGCCGCTTTATCGCTTTTGCAAAATGGCGCTGTTGTCGGGGATTAGTGTTGATATTAACTACATTGTGATAGTTTTGCTTTCTAAGTTTCGTAAATATGTCTATATCGTATATTTGTAAATATTTCTCATACTTGTGAATAATGCATACTTGTTGATAGGTACATGTTTGGTGTTGTAAATTCACACTTGTTATGTTGTGTTTCGTAAAGCTATGCAAGTGTGTGTATAAATGTGTAGTGTATTAATTATGTTCAAGTGTTGTTGTGAATTTCTTGTTTTTGTAATGTTTGTTCAAGTGCTTTTTAGGACACTTGTTTTTGGTTGCTCGTTGAAGAAAAACATCGGGTGACAAGAGGAAGTTACTATCTATGCACAGTATAGGCATTGAGCTTATGACGTAAAACAAGCATATTTTATTATTCTTCATTGTGATAATTTAAGTAGTGTGTTGATTTTTATTTAAACAAGTTGAAATTGGATCTGTTTTAAAACTTAAATCTTCACTTTTCAACTTGTTTATTCACTTTCGCATGGTTCTTTCAAGAGCTTGCTTTCATTAGCTTGAGGAAATGTGTATGTGTGTAAATTCGGTTTACTTGTGTAAATGAGATTTGTAGGCGAAAGTTGAGGTTGCATTAGAATTGTAGTTTGTTGTCATATTTTTCTGCATCTAGTGTAGCGCGCTTAACGCTTGATTTGGCGCATAGCGCTCTCTGCTATGTTGCACCAGTGAATTCTTTTTGTTTCACTTGGCCTTCCTTTTTCAACTTTCTCCTCAGATATTTAGAATACATGATAAGTAGTATTTATTAATTCTTTTGTTGATTGTTTGGACTCTAATTTAGGTCCGGTAACTTAAAGAATTTCTAGGT